GTAGTTATGATCAGGTTATATTTCCTGGGCTGGGCGAGTCTGGCACAGGCCAGAGGTGTATGTTGCTGGGGAAGGTGTTGTGAGCAGGGTGTAGTATGCTTTACAGGGACTCCACACTGTCAAGTCAGGACTGATGTATGTGTGTTGGGGTGTGGGATATGATCAGATTGTATCGTTCTGGACCTATATTCTCCTCCCCAGTAGTTATGATCAGGTTATATTTCCTGGGCTGGGCGAGTCTGGCACAGGCCAGAGGTGTATGTTGCTGGGGAAGGTGTTGTGAGCAGGGTGTAGTATGCTTTACAGGGACTCCACACTGTCAAGTCAGGACTGATGTATGTGTGTTGGGGTGTGGGATATGATCAGATTGTATCGTTCTGGACCTATATTCTCCTCCCCACCAAGGATTGCATGTCTGGTTTGATCAAATTATATAATCCCACTGCTTTTGGGGCATTAGGGCCAGATGGTGGCTAGGTGGGCCATCAAGTTCCATCATCCGGCTTCAGGCACAGTGTAGTGTGTCTTGAGGTGGGACTGGTCAGATTATGTAATCACAAACACCCTGTAAAGCAGCAGTGTGGTTGGGGGTGCCTGGGATTTAATCCCTGGAGATATCACATACGCCTAAGGCAGTGGTGGTGTGTGGGGATGGATGTTATATAACTGCCCCCTAAAAGCCCATGGGCTGGGCAGGGCCGCCTGTGTTGGGGTGAACAGGTTACACAACCCCCAGCACCGGCAGGGCTGGCTGCTTTGGGAAGGAGTGTGATATGCCCCCCAAACTCTCCACCCCGCCAGGGCAGGGCTGGCTGCGATGGAACAGGTTATATAACAGCCCCCCTCCCCCCACGCAGGGCAGGGCAGGGCTGGGTGTGCAGGGGCAGGTCTCCCTGGAGGGGAGGGGGGCTGGGCCGCAGGATTGACAGCCAGTAATTGGGTAATAGGAGGCTGCTTCTCCCCATCCAGGCGGCCCCAGTCACTCAGACGCCGGGGTCTGACGTCACCCGCCGCTGCCAAATTCGCCAGGAAATGAACTTTTTATTAATAATAATAAAATAATAATAATAATATTCCCAGACAAGCCCCTTTTCCCCCACATTGGGGCGGCGTCGCCCCGGGAACGGGGGTCCCGGACACCCCCAATTCCTGCCCTGCCCCCTCTGCGCCTGCCGCCGCCTTCCCACCAGACACAACAAGCCCAGGTTTGCGAGCAACGAGGGTCAGCCACCGAGCAGCCTCCCTGCCCCCACTTTATGGGCATCTTCCTGCCCGCTGGCCGCAGACTGGGGCAGGGGGCTGCGGAGATAGGGAGGCTCCGGGGCTAAGATTTTGCCTCCTCCCCCCCCCCCCCCGCTTCCTCGTCCCTCTTGGAAAACTAAGGGAAGCCGGACCCTGCTGCTAGCGCCGCTTCCAGGAGCCCCCGCCCCAGCCCCAGCGTGTGCAGGCGCAGACGGGGAGGTGGGTGCGCTGCGCTGGAGGGCGCCGTGGGGATCCGTGGGCCGCGTGGGGGAGGGGGGAGAGTCGGGGTCTTTAGGGCCGGGTGAGCCGGGCTGTGGAGGAGCCGCCGCCGACCCCTGCCGCCCGACACTCCCCTGCCCCCCGGCGGGGGGGGAGGCCAGCGCGGGCGGGCAGCCGCAGAAAGGAGCAGCGATGCAGTCGCAGCCGGCTGGGCTGGCCCGGCCGCGGGATGGGTGGGGGCTTGGAGACAGGAGGTCTGGCTGTGCCGGCCGGGACAGGACTTGCTCGGAGCTAGCCTGGGGCAACACCGCGCTCCCCTCCCCCAGCCCCTCGAGGCTCTGTCCCTGCCCCCGGGCCCAGCCAGCCCCGTTCCGCTGGTGGGGAGAGGGGTCTGCTGATGCCTGGCCTCGGCTCTCAGACAGGGCCGGCCGGGAACTCGCCCCACGCCCGCGTCCTGTGCGAGAAGCCGGGAACAGAGTCCTGAACCTAACCCGGTCTTTCGCCGCCACCTCCCGCTGTCCTCGGATTTCCCTCCTCCCCCCCGCCTTCACCTTGCCAGCCCTCAGTTCCCAGATCTGGGACCCCCCCAAAAAAATCCCCTCGCCAAGCCCTCTCCCCCTACGCACACACTTCCCGTTTGTTTGCAGCCAGTGAAAGCGATCACAACAGGAGAGAAGGGACCTTGCAAGTAAGTCTGTCAGCCCGCCCCCACTCTTAGGTGAAATCGGGGTGGAGGGAGAGGTGCCCGGGCACAGACACACGCTGAACTAGCAGCTGCCCCTGCGCACTCTTAGGAAGGGATTGGCACCCTACCGAACCACAGATAAAGTCGGCAGCATTGGCAATTCATGGGCGATTTATTCGGATTTCGGCGCTTTAGCAAATTTGATCTTCCAATCTCAGGCTGAATGGACCGCGAGCTCTGAAGCAGGCCTGGGGGGCGCAGGAGGGAGAGAGGTGACAGCCTTTACTTTAAAAATGATTTTAAATCATTTTTTTTTCGTTCAGGAAAATCGTTCTTTTGAATGAAAATAAGGCGATTTCAGCTCAGGTATTTTTACTCCCAAAGTAGCAAGCTGCAAACAGCAGACATGGGAACAAACATCTCACGGGGTTTTGTTTACTAGAAATAAACGCTCCCCTACCCCCGTTTGCAGAAGTAACCAGGAGGGCGGTTGTGGGAGAACGTTTCCATAGATCCGAAGAAGTTGGAGGAAAAAATCACAGCTCATCTAGCAGCTCCCCACAAAACGCGATTGCAAAATCCCCCGGCGAAAGCGTGGAGGAGAGTTCGAGTTCATTGCAATGGCCGGGCTGCTAATGCGATCGTATTAATGCCGGCGTTAATACAGTCTTATTAATTAATACCAACCTTTTTAATTATTTCCCCGCTGCAATGAGCAAGGCAGCGTTGGGGGGGAGAGGGCTGTTTGTTTTAGGCAGGTGATAAAATCGCAGTTAACGAGCTGATAATTCGTTCATGTTTGTTTTAAAAGACAAATTGTAAAGATTAATCAGGCTGCTTGATTTATGGAGCGACAGACCCCAAAACTGCCCGGGAAACTCTCTCTGAAGCCCCCGTGTCAGATTGCAGCCGGCTCCTGCCACTTCCCTGCAGCCACGGGAGCTCGCTGCTTCCTCTACAGATCTTGCCTGCAACATGGACACCACGGCCAGGAGAGGGAGGGGAGAAAAGCCCAACGCGTCTGCGGGGCATGGAGGAGATACTGGGGACGAGGGGAATCAACTGCACCGTCCTCCTAAAAAATGAACATACAAAATCCAAACGAAATGGCCTGTCCGCCCGCTCCCGCCGCCGCTTCTCTCCAGGGCTGCCTTTGAGCACTACAAGAAATTCTTTCCTGTCGTCCTTTGCCACCATAGCCAGGATTTCAGGGATATTTCTGAAGCTTTATTCCTGTCCCGGCTTGGTGGGAAACCTCTCCTTCCTATCCTAGTGTCTTCCTGCAAAGGCAATGTCTCTGATCGGGCGGTTATTATTAATGAGAATTAGCAATAGTGTGTCCATATTATTAATGATAATTATGGCTTCCCAGGAACCTTAGGGCCAACTACTTTCCCCTGCCTTGGATGATGGCTCTTTCCAGCTCTTCTTTTCAAACTCATGGCAATACACAGCGCGTAACATCTTTCTCCCTGTCCACGTGGAATAGACGTGTTACTAGGCGGTTCAATTCTTTCCAGCGAAATGGCTAGCCCCGGCGTGGAACTCCTGCCTATGTTACCGATCCCCAGCCACTGATATTTACCAGAGTGAAGGGTGGGTGGGAATTGGTACTGAACAGATCGCTATGAATTCCTCTCCAAATAGGTTTTAAGAAGTCCAAGTTCAGGGATCTCCGCGCCTCTGATTTACCCACTGTTTGTGTAGAGCGTGGCAGTTCAGTGCTTCTCTCTTGTCTGTTAAGAGGGGACTGTTATTAAATGCCCCGCCGCAGCAACGCCGTGGGGCAAAGGAAAGGCTGTGTGCTTAGGACGTTTATTTAATTAATTCACTCATCGGAACATAAACTAACCCGCACAAGGATCTTCGGCGCAGAAGCTTAACTAATTTTCTGGAGCTGAGATTCAGCCTGTTTCACACGGCTGGTTAAACAACTATTCTGTCAATTTTATTAAAGTCCTCTCTGGAGAGCATCTGCCTGAATGGGCAGTGAGCTGCAGGATTGCAGCCAGCCGGCTCCAGTCCCGGCATTCACTCTGTGGCCCGCTGCATTCTCCACCGTTCCATCTCTATCCCATCTCCTCTTCCAATAGATTGCTAGATGTATTGGCAGTTATGTGCAAAAATAAGGCACGCCAAATGCTTTACAAATAGCCCTCCTTCTTTGCACATGCAATAGTCTGCAGGGGGCGGCGATTGATAAAAAGAAAAATAATTGTATCAGAATGAACCGCAACTATCAAACCACACATTATTTTCAAGTGTGTCTGTGTATTCTACACGCTGATAATCAGCTATCTAGGCAGGTAAGTAGATTGATAGATTAGATTAGATAGAATTCGTGCATATCTATACGGATTTATCTAGAAAATTAGTAAAACATTACAGTCTCTTACGAGTTATAAAGTTTTCTTCTCAGTTGAGGGACTGGCTGACTCCCTCGCAGGACTTTTTACTTCTTTTTATACAACAGTTTTGTTAATCTAAATTTTCTGTTGCTGTACATTTTTAAAGGGAAGATCGTCCAGATCTGAAAGCACAGCTGATTATTTTAATTTGATTGACAAGTGATGTCATCTCGTTAAGGGGGGGAAGCAAACATGTTTTAGCAACAGTTAGTGGGACCATTTGATGTAGCAAGACACCTGTGTCTACGATCAATGCGCTCATATGTTCGAAAACAGAAAACATACGTGCTCAGCCCTACACGCGGACTGATTATTTACATGCCCTCAGTATTTGCCCGTTTTATGTGACGAGATTTGAATTGAACAGACCTTATGTCAGACTCTAAAAGCAACACGAAGTGGGCAAAGGTTCAAAAGGGAAATAACCAAATCCCCATGCTCTGCTGTAACAGAATCTGGACCCTGGTGGAAGAAAGCGTTGGCTGAGTTAATCGTTTGATAATTCTCTGGCATCCCGCTGCAGATGGGGAGCGGTTTGGTACCGGGGCACGTTCTGCCAGCCGTTTGTGAGTTTGCAGTTTTGGACTTTTCCTGTCATTTAGCGTGTTAATGAGGCGAGGAGGGAGCAGGCCGCCTCCTACCTCCTTTTACGCCTTTGCTTTTGCTATTTCAGCAGATAATAACAATTATTGCAATGTAAAACCGCTTCCCGGGAAAGGTTTCCCAGACGCCGTAAAGTCAATAGAAGAAAACAAATCTCCGCAACTCCGGCTCCCCTTCCCCCAGGCAACAGGGTTGCCTTCTCTTCGCCCGGATCCTCTGCCCCGGAGGGAGCGGTAGGTACAGTTGCCTACAAATAAGTTGTACTAGAACCGACAACAGCACCGACCAACTACAGTGTCACACACCGTCCGAGCCGCGCGATCTCAGACGCATTGTTCGAACTGCAGCCGCATCTACTTTCCTCTTTGTTTCAACTTCACTCATCCTGGCTGCAAACCCCAGGGGCAGCCTAAGTTTTTCCTCCCTTTGTAGCCCTGTTCTTGTCTTTTCCTATGGGCCACTAATTGGTGCAACCATCAACATGGGAGGAAAGAGAAGGGCGAGCGAGAGGCGCACTTCGTTAACCCCTAAAGGGCCTGAGACGACAGGGGCCGCACAAGGCACCAGCCCTGTTGCCGGACACATAGGCCCGGTCCGAGCAGACCGTAGGAGCGCACTGCGAGGTACTCACTGCTGAGCGGGCGGCTGGTGGGTGTCCCGCGACGCCTGTCCCCTGCTGCTGCAGCAGGAGCCAGCTCCGCGTTGCCAGGCCGGGGTGCAGGGTGGGACGGGTCTGTGGGCGGGGAGGGGAGGACGGGGCAGGCAGAGGAAGCCGAGGGGTGGGGGGGAGCAGGCCGGTGGGGGTAGCGCGCAGCCACCTCGCTGCTGCAACTCCCCGTCTTGCTGCGCCCGGGATAAGCCAGGTACAGAAATAGAAACACGTAGGAGTGGCGTCAGAGGGACACACACCCGCTTCCGGGTGAGCCCTGGAGCCTGGCGGCTGCAGGGACGGAGCCGGGAGCCCTTCCCCCGGGGAGGCGGCGGGGGGAGCAGGCCGGTGGGGGTAGCGCGCAGCCACCTCGCTGCTGCAACTCCCCGTCTTGCTGCGCCCGGGATAAGCCAGGTACAGAAATAGAAACACGTAGGAGTGGCGTCAGAGGGACACACACCCGCTTCCGGGTGAGCCCTGGAGCCTGGCGGCTGCAGGGACGGAGCCGGGAGCCCTTCCCCCGGGGAGGCGGCCCCCGGATGGCACCCCCGCCTCTTCCCCGCCAGCCACTTTGGGGAGCAAACCCCACGCGCCTTTTCCCTCCTGGGGAAGCCTGGTCTAGCTCTCCAGCCCCGGCCGTTCAGAGCGGCTGTTTTGCCCATTGCCCCGTGGGAGTTTGCGCTCCCCACTGGGTGACCCCTTCGTGGCTCCTGTTTTCTTTCCCTCCTGACTTTTGTCCTTGTTTGGACCCTGGCCATTTGTACCTACGGGTTGTTCCCCTGCAATGAGTTTGCAATTTGTCCGTCGGGATACAATTCCCCAGCCCGGGAGCCCTGGCCTGGCTTTTCTTCTCGCCTCACTGGCTCCCTCAGTCACTCCGCTCCCTCACTGGCTCGCCCCCCCCCGGGCGCTGGCACAGAAATCTGCAGGCATCCCTTGACTTGGGCCACATCTGTGAATTTCTGATCCAACCAGTCGGTTAGCTCAGCCCTGGCCGCGCCGGGCAGCCACAAACCCAAGCACCACCGCACGGCTTTGTAAATGGCCAAACCTGCTCAAAACACTGCAATGGCAGCCACAGAGAGGACAGCGCTCCCACTAATTGATACGTGCAATTAATACTCCCCCCCATTACAGTCGTCATGGTTGGTTTCGGAGCCTGCTACAGAAGGGCGCTGTGGTAGACTCTCTGTTCTATGGGAACATTTTTCAGGCTCTCCTGCCAAAAATTTCGTTGCAGACTTCGAGTTTCTGGAAGCGTGTATCGATGTCAATTCGGATGCCAGCTATTTGGGGCTCAGTCCTGCAAGGTTGTTGTTTGCTTGTTTTTTACTCTGGTAACAACACTCCTAAGGGAGCAATCGCCCGAGTTAAGGCTGCAAGATCGGGCCTTGGAGGAGAAAGAGCCGGTGTCAGTTCCAGAGGCAGATATTTAGTTTTAAACACAATGATCTGTCTGCGGCGCCTGGTTCGTTCTCTCCCTCTGTAATGCCAGTGAGCGTGTGCATAGAGAGATAGGTGCATAGTCCCAGTAACCACTCTCTGGTTTGTTTGTTTATTTATTTGGCTAGCTGCTTTACTTTGTGATGAGTGCAGCCACCTCCAAGAGACCTACGAGTTTCTTTGGGCAGGGCCAAATTTGAGTTAAAACAATGAATACAGATGTGCCCTGGCTCCCGCTTCTCGCTCCAGCCAAACAAGCCAACCCTGCTGCCGCAAATCCTGCACCCGAACTATTCTTATTGAAATCGCCTCAACGCCCTTCAGCCTCCAGTGTGGATTTTCCCCCAGTCTCTGCACCCCACAGCAAAGGAGGGGGATAATAAGCAAAAGGGGGGGAGCTGCCTTGGGAAAAAACGCATTGGAGGCGGCTGAAGCCTCTACTTGGGTCATTTTAAATCATGCAAAGCTGTGTACATCTGCTGCACGAGACTGGGACTGCAAAGGCTCCCTGGCTAAGCAGGTGCAAATGGAGCAGAACCCAGGGCCGACGGGGATGCGGGGCTTTCCAGGGGAGAACAAACCCTCGCATCGTGTTAATAACAAATCTGACAACAATGAGAGAGAGCCGGGCGGGGCGGGGGGAAGGCGAGGGAGAGGAGGGTCAATTGAACATTTCATCCCCAAGTGTCTCCCTTAGGGGAAAAGAAATAGACGTTCCGA